TTATTGTCCAAATTTTGGACAATTTTGGCGGGCCAATTAAAAAGCCCAATGGGCCGTACACAGTCCGCAGGCCGGGGTTTGCCCATGCCTGGAATAGGATATTGGACTTCTAGTCTGGTCAAACTCCTACCCTTTAACAGGTATTTACGCTCACCTGGACCGGACTCACCGCAAAACATATATAAACCATGAGTTTTTGTAACGAACTTAATTCCTGTCCCTCGAAGAAAAGTTTGAATTATGACAATGACAATTATGGCAAATACTGAATATTAATGAACAACCAATATTATTTTATAAAGTAAATGACAAATCTGACGACTTTGAGAAGGAGTTTTGATTCAATTTGGACTAAGGTTCTGCTCTCAACGTTAAAATGTAGGTAAGTTTATCTCAGATTCACAAACTTAGCTGGCACAGTTTTGTGGTTCTCTCGTCAGAAGGAAGACGTCCATCTCTCGTTACCAAAAAGGATGCATGAAGGAAAATCGGTAGCCCACTGTCCCAAGGAGGATGTCGTTTCTCAGGACTGCGGACCGTTCGGCGCATACCTTTCGCTCCTAGATGTTTTAAGAAGTTTCAGGATGTCCACCAAGTCTCAGCTGGACACGTCTTCCATCATATGGTTGTTGTTTCTCGGAGAGTCTCATCAACACTCCACAACCACTCATTCCATCTGCTCAGCTTAGCCGCCGCTCAAGACAACTTTTCTCATTGGCTGCCGTCTCTGCACTATTAATCATTAATTAACATTACATTGTAATTAATTAATCTATGAATTAATGATTGATTCATAACTGGCTGTGACTACTGTACCCACCACTGCACCCTGTATTCACTGGTTAACTGGACATCATCTACTTCACGCAGACTCTCCCACTGGTACATTTTCATATTTAAATCACTTCTCGGTCTGTTGCCTTCATACATCTCCTACATGTCTCTGCGTGAGTGCAGCTACAGCGTGCGCTCTCAGGATATTATTACATGCAGTGTTCCCACAGTGAGGACTGAACTAGACAAAAGGACCTTCTCCTACTCCGCTCCTGTTTCCTGGAATATCTTACAAAAAGATCTCAAGCTCTCGACCTTGACCTCTCTAAGTGGCTTCAAACATCTGTTAAGTTCATGGCAAGGACCAATGGAGACATGTTCCTGTTTTTAGTTTTCTACATGGCCTTATAATCTAGTGGTTTTAGTTACTTTTTTTGCCATCTTCTTTTAATTTGAAAAAAAAAAAAATCTGTATGCCTTTTTTATGATCGTCTATTGTTGAGGGAGTGGTGGCGCAGAGGTTAGAGAAGGTGGGCCTGTGATCGGAAGATCGCCGTTTCAAGCCCCGGTACCGACAACATCAAAAATGTGGGTAGGGTAGGTGAAGCACCCACACCTACCCTCATTCGCCCCACTCTGGGCCCATGAGTAAGGCCCTTAACCCCCATCTTCCCCCTAAACAGGTCTCTCTTGAAAATGAGTTCTCGTGGCTCAATGAGACTACCTGTATAAATAAAGGTTAAATGGAAAAAATAAATAAAAAATGTTGTTATCCACTGTTATTATTCTTTGTTAAAATCAGGTCTCTCTTGTAAATGAGTCTTCGAGGCTCAATGGGATTAGCCTGTCTAAATAAAGGTTGAAAATTAACAATTTTCCACTCACAAAATGTGTACAATTAAGTTAAAAGTAATTAGCATCCCACAGAGGGAGGTCCAAAGTGTCCATAAAACAAGCGCCAGGTGGCTAATAGATTTATACAACAGGGCCTTGCAACAAGATACTGCTGCAGCAGCAGTCTGCCCTGAGGCATTCAGGTCCAGAGGAACATCACTGCCTGTATTTCTATTGTATTTCTATTGTGTGTGTATA